AAGATGAGCTCTTCCCTGCTACAACCCTCCATGAATAACAGAGTGTAGAAAAAGGACTTTATTGCAGGTCAAAAGACTTTATTGTCAATAATTTCGGAGTGGGGGGGGGGGGCTGGCAAGGACACTGTCTATTCGATTCGTTGGAGTATATGTAAAATAATTCGAAATAAGAGTAGGTAGCCTAATTACGCTGCTGTTTGGGCAAAGTTTACTTCATAGCACACTGTATGACAAACACCTGTCATCATCATTAGCCAAACCATGCAGAAAAATAGGAGATAAACCCTATCTGTAGCCTCTATCGTGTTCGGAGAATGGTAGAACTCTGGAACACCACATTTGATATAAATCTGTTAAAAACTATAGCCTCTATTGCTTTTCGAAGGTTTTCAGGGGATAACTCCAGAATGAAGTTTTGTGGAGCACTGATTATCGATGGAGTTTGTCCTCCCATGAACGAACAATCAGGGGTAATAATCCAGGAATTTAAGGTTCGACATGTGCCCATGTTATTTGGGAAATAAACATATTGTAAGCTTCATCTAAACTGGATAAAAATTGAGACCTGTAGAGTGTCCACAAACAAATGTGAACAGACGTCCGGATGAACAATGGTAACAGCATAATACATGACAATACGTCCACATGAAAATATTGGCGAATAAAAGGTGCTTAAGTATGAATAAAGAAGGTTTTTTTATGTATCGGGTTATTTTTTGTTAATATCTGTAATTGTTAAAAGTGAATAAAGGAGTTTTTTTACGTACCGGCATCTTGTTGTTGTGTAAATATTTGTTAGTTATATTGTTCTAACAAGAAAAGAACCCTGTACGTATGTACTTAAAAGAACCCTTGCCAGTTCAAAATTTGGGGGTTGGGATGGTCTAGAGTGCCGCGCTTCAACCTCTAGCTGGCCGGTCACCTCTGCCTTGCGGTTGTGGTTGCGATCCCTGGAGTGAGCGTATGTGGCTTGGAGATAGGGGCGCCTTCTCAACATCATGGGTTTACTCCGGTTTCCTCCCACACGAAAGACCCCTGCGCGTGCGCTAAGATAATAAAAATGAAAAATAAGACTTGTCTGCGATATTACCTTCGGTGGAAGCGGACGTTAAACACTAAGAACAATAACAGTTCAAAATTGAAGAAGCATGGACAGACAGACGCTGTCCGGGCAAAATTCTCCTTCCTTGCATTTTACAAACAGTCATAGAATAAGGATTACCATATGTTATCCTAACGAAATACTGAAGTATTGCATGTGTTAACAAGATAATGTTAAACCCCATTCCATATAATAGGTTTATGTTTTGCGATGATATACAATTTAATAGCGCCATAACAGTTTTATTCATTTTAAATTATAATTTCATGATTACTTTTTCTCTATTTTTTTTATATGTCATATCAAATTTTCTACCAATTGAGTCAATGAAATGGGGTTTAACGTCCTACCTTTTTTTCTTTGAAAATAGTTTTGAAGAATCAGTTTGGTTATAAAAATACACATGATGCCAATGTGTACACGTGAGCTAGTGTTTTTTGTCCCATCTACACAACTAGACATTGTTCTTTGCCAGCCGGGGATCACGTGGCTAAGTGGGTAAGACGCTGGCTCGCTAGCCTGGAGGTCGGGTGTTCGATCCCTGCATTGGCCGAGAAAGTTCATCCAGATTTTCCGGCGTGGTTTCCCCTTGTCAGTGATGCAGGACCTGACAAGGACAGCTGTCTAGTCGTTCGGATGGGACGAAAAACCGAGGTCCCGTGTACATATTGGCGTGCACGTAAAAGATCCCTTGGCAGTTGTAATTCGATATAAGAGGAGGCCGTAGCGCCGCTGCCCGGGCAAAATTTCCCTCATAGCACACTGTATGGCGTATGCCCGTCTTCATTAGCCCAGTTTAGGAGCAGAACAGTAGGACGTTAAACCCCATTTCATTTCATTTCATGTCTTTGCCAGCCCCCCCCCCCCTCCTACGCTACCGAGGGGGAGAAACCATGCTGCAAATTGCCGGAGAACTTTCTTGACTAACACCAGCGTACATAATCCATATATTTAGATGGGTATTTTTTTTTCTTTGGAAAAATTTGTAATGCATCAATTTGAACTAAAAAGCTCAAGTATGAAGACACGTCATTCTAATATCAAGATGTTTATTTTTGCTACGATAATATTTTGAATGGATCCTTTTTTTTCTTTAAAAATATTTTTAAAGAATCAGTTTGGTTACAAAAATACACATAATGTTTACATCCTCAAATATAATAATGGACCCAAAACTAAAAAGTAGTTTTAATTTTTCAACAAATGCACGAAAATCTGTAGATCTAAATTTTAAGACTTTTTAAAAATATTAAAAATGAAGTAAAAAATACGGTCTTCGTGTTATTATTAACTTCACAAATATAGGAAAGTTGTCTCAAAATTTCCAGTCGCTATCTCACTTACAATTATTACAAAATAAGAACATCTAATCAGTTCATACGACCCCGCTTCATAAATAATAGCCAAGCCTTCTACCGGAAGTAACTTGCGGTACATCTCAGATACTGCAGCATAGAAATCTATTTCTATGTACATATATGCTGCAGTATCTGTCATTGGACGATGAATTATGTTGTACATCGCATAATGTACTGCAGGGTCAGTAATTCTTCATACGATCTCTGGTTCAATGTCAAGATTTCCGTGGAGGCCGCCATATTTGATTTGAGTGTGTGTCACAACCCCTGCTTGGACGGTTAGATCTATTTGTTAAGGCCAACTCAATTTTCGTCAAGGTCGCTGAGACGTAAATAAGGTTGGCACGTGATTGTTGGCGAGATTGTAGGTTAATGGGGTTAAGGTAAGCGTTTGGCATGTTCATACCTTGTCCATCTGTCGTTTTGGTGAAATAAAGATCTTGGGGCCACCAAAGCTAGTTTAGAAGTTATTGTATGCGCGGTAAGCCTACCCTAACCCGATTACCCCATATTTTGAGCATGTTTACAGTGGTATATCTCGAAAAGCCAACATAGGACGCTTCTGAAATTTTGTATTCTAGTAGTTTATTCATCCCTTGATTCCGTGAAACAAAAAAACATTTTGCCACCAAAGCTGGTTTAATGGGTGCTTTTTGACGCAGACGACAGGCGAAATTGTTTCGAGCAGGTTATGCATCCACCCCCTCCCCTCTACCCTAACATCCATCGAGCCGATGCGAGTAACCGACGAGTTCCAACTTTTTGTTGTCAATCTCTCCTGTACTTTCGATTTGTGTATAGTTGACAATCATAAACCTCAATCGGAACTATTCGTGAGTAAACTTTATGCGTCACTCGATATAAATAAAGATTGTTATGATAAGATATGTCACTTGCTCGCTTTTATCTGAATCTCAAGTAGTTCGTTGAAGAACCACGGCTGGTTTTTATATGTGGCCAACATGTACAATGTTAAATAATATTACTATAGATACAGCCCCGTGGGATGATAGGGTGTGGTGAAATGTTGTATCATATACTGTTCCATATATTGTTATAATCATCTAGAGGCGTTCAGCCTGATTAGTTTAAGTTGGGGGGGGGGGGCAGTGAATTACCCGAATAATAATTCCCCGTAGTACACCAACTACAACGCAAATAATGAACAATGCCCGAAAACTGTCGCTCAATTCAGGGTGGATCCTGGCCAAAAAGTCATTCGATTTCCATTATTCCTATGGATATCCATATTCCTATGGGATATCCATTTTCCTGTACGTGGGATTTCGCGCATTTTGTTTTGTCGACTATGGGGCGACACCCTTTTTTTTTTACCTTGCATTCCCTAGATGACGCCTAGATGAGGGTTGGTGGTTGAATGGTTTACGCGCGCGACCGTAAATCATAAGGTCTTTCATTGTATCAAGTGGCGTACTACGTATACGGTTTCCATTCCCCGCTACGTGAAAAGGAGGACTTAGGGTCGCCTGTCGAACCTCGTGGGTTTTCTTCGAGTCCTCCGGTTTCTTCCCACTGCTAAATTTAAGACCCGTATACGCGCAAGCGAATTATTGAAATAATATTGAACCATATAATTATGTTAGTCCCAAATTGACCTACATTGTGTCGAGTGGACGTTAAATCTCTCTCTCTCTCTCTCTCTCTCCGCATCTCTCTCTCTCTGATGGCCGAATGGATTGGTTAGCACGTATGCGCTGTATCATAAGGTCTGTCAGTTAGTCAACTGGCGGGGTTTCGATTCCCCGGATGTACGTGTCAAGGAGTATCGCCTGTCCAACCTCGTACGTAGGTTTTCTTTGGGTCCCCCGGTTTCCTCACAATGCTAAAGACCCCTACGCGTAAGCTCAATTATTGAAATAAAATTGAACCATGTGGTAGTCCCGAAATGACCTAGTTTGTGTCGGTGGGCGTTAACCCCCCCCCCCTCTCTCTCTCTCTCTCTCTCTCTCTCTCACGCCTATGGTTGTAATTTAATGAAGATATAGTTCTCGTCGGTACGATTGAATGTATGGACACAGATCACTAAAGATTGCCCCATTGACTCCAATGTTAATTCTCGTATCTTAGACCGGCTCTAACTTTTTCCCAAATTTTCGTTGGGTAGAACGCTTTCTACCACAGATGGAGCAACATGTGGCAACCACTTGCCCAAAAGCACGTATGAGGTTCTTCATGAAAAACTTGAGATACACAAGCTGGAAGTAGAGACAAGTAAACATGCAATTTCAGGCCCTACATTTCAACGTAACCAACCTCTCAACTCTTGTATCCTTCCGCATCAAAATTATGAATATTCACCAAAACCTGGCAGAAAATGTATTTTCAAACCCTTTTCCTCAATTCTACACCAAAAAGTCAACAAAAATCGCCATGCAAAAGGGGGAAAATGGAAAAGGGAGAGGAAGACTAAAAATAGCTTTGGCCCTTGTTTCGTGGTGACGGCGTAGGAATATTTGGTGATCTGTGTCCGTATAGTTCCCGAGAAATACTACTTTTGCTTTCGATATTAATTTAGATTCTATGCAATAACTGACGACATGAGCCATTGACTAACGGGAAGTAATATCAGTTGATACGAAGCTGAATTAATATCTATCACATAAATTTCTTCATTTTTGTATGCTTAACTGTGAGAAGGTAGGATTTAGATAAATAGGCGACACATGAACTGTAGTTATGGCGAACTCTGTATTACTAAAAAGTATTATTAGGTGCATTATTCAATATGGATTGAATGATCATGACAACGGGATGTTTATAGACATTAAAGGGTTACAGTTCTGTCTAAAAAGTGCTGTCAACCCATCCTTTTTTAATCGGTATAGGCAGTTCTTTCGAGTATCTGATGACAAATATGATGTTTTTTTGGTTGTTCGTGCCCAATTATGTCCAAATTTCTGTTCAACAAATGGCTGTAACGATTTTTACTGTCAAATGTTTCATATTTGTAAGTTTTATATGCTATCAAATTCCTGCCAAGCATCAGAAACAACATGCAGATATGGCCACGTTCTTCAGGATGGAGGCCACAATGAAACTTTGATGAGGTCTTTAATGCTTGACAGTTTGTCAATGGACGAATTAAGACTTCTTTTTCAACTGGCACCAAATAGAACTGAAGCAGCAATACCCATGTTGTGTAAATTTTATAATGGAGGAGGGGGATGTAAGAAGGGTGATAAATGTACTTGCCTACATATTTGTCGACATTATATTTGGGACACCTGTAAATTTGGACCAAGGTGTAAAAGAGATCACAACATTCATAGCATAGAGAGATCTTTAAATAGATATGGCATTGATACAAGTAAAACCCCAAGAGAAATCTTAAATTATTTGAAAGATTTGTATGACAGAGTTGAACCTCACGAAGATGACCCTGATTCGAGAAGCGGGAGGTTGTCTCATGCAGCGCCTATGTCTTCTGTAGGTAGTCGATCCAGCTCAAGGTCTGGTCCAAGATCAGCTCGCTCTGAAAGACCAAGACACTTTTCAGAATCAAGCAGTTCACAATATCTCCATAAATTTGATAGTTCTGCCAATGACAAGCCACCATCAAGACCATCATCAAGACCATCTAGGGCTTTACGGTCAGTATCTAGACCACGTACAATCTCTTCAAACATACCGTTGGATGTAGTCCCAAACATATGCCTGTTTCATTTACGTGGAAAATGTTGGTATAAGGAGAGATGTCGAAATGTTCATAGGGAGATGTTGTACCAGTGGCAGTGTGCAGACAAAGACGGTAACTGGCAAGATTTTCCAGAGAAAACTAACATTGACATTGAGAAGAAGTATTGCTCAACTGATATTGAAGAGGAATTTTATTTCAAATGGAAATCAAAACAAAGGTAATTTATATATCAGCATGTTGAGCCATTGTATAGGCTTAATATGTCGCCCATTCAGTTCGTCATCGGTCCTTGCAGCATTAAAAATTAGTCTTCAGGTAAAATTGCTTGATGTGTAAGTTGCTAGGGTGGTGTTTATTCAAATTTGTGCTGATAAAGTTGCTTGCCCTCCAAAAGGCTGGTCGAGACACCTTTACAGAGCAAATTTGTAAATACAGATTTTTTTCTTCAGAATTGTTGAAAAGGGACTTCTTTTACATTTGGTAGAAATAATCCTAACATGATCAAGATAAAAGTTTTGCTGCACTTTTTGGTCGGCAGAACGGAAGAGATTAAAGATACTGATACCTTTACTGAGTTATTTTCAACATTATAATTTATTATTAAACAGGGATAATGTTACCATTGTTAAAATCAATCTCAATGATATTGAGAAGAGTGATTTCAAGGTACGTCGATTATCAACAGTGGACTTTACCAGTGACACTAGTAACTTTGATCTACCATGGACCACTAAATGGCTGTGGTACTGGAAGTCAGAAACAGTCTGGATTCCATATGGAGGACAGGTAGGTCTTCAAGGCAATATAACTTAGTAGTAGTAATCAAGTAAAAGGGATGTGAGCCACAGTCCGAGTTGAATTTCACACAAACCAAGCCATGGATAATCTTTATAAGATATTTGATTACTGGATAAGAGCAATAAACTATAACACATAGTTTATGAAAGAACAATTACTGATTTATTTGGAAGTGCTTGAAAACGTTCAGAGAATACGCTGCCCAAATAAATTAATAAGTATGTGTTATAGTTTATCAATCCATGGTTTACATGTATAATTAAGTAATATCAGCACTTGTAAATTTTATAATCTTTCAATAGGTCCCTCTTTAATCTGATTGAATCCAAACCAGAAGATTATCTACAATTGATATTTTCATTCGGTTTGCTTAATTAAATGTAATATAATTAATTTAGGTACATTTTAATGTGGATTAAGATGTGAACAATTAGATATTGACTGCAAAATGTGAATGATGATCATCGGCTTCAATCCTAGTCAAATGTGCAGACTTATTTATTCTTTTGTTCATATACCTTGCAACAGTAATTGTAGTTGAAATTTATTTCAATAATTTACTTGCGCGTAGAGGTCTTTAGCAGTGGGAGGAAACCGAAGGACCCGAAGAAAACCCACGAGGTTGAACAGGTGACCCTACTCCTTGTCACATACAAACGGGGAATCGAAACCCCGCCAGTTGACTCAATGACAGACTGTATGATACAGCGCGCACGTTCTAACCATTCGGCCATCCAACCCCAATTGTACTTGATGATAAATTTTGGAGAATATTCATACAATCTAGTTAAAACTAGATGTTTAGTAAACACTGCATTGTAAACACTCAAACAACAATGCACATTTTGGTTAGAAGAAAATAAATAAGATAATGCACTTGTTTTATAGGATAATGTGGGTTCTAGAGCTGATATATCATCTGCAGATATCGAGAAGAACTTCTTAAATGAAAAGGACATAACTATGGAATTCAAAACCAACAGTGGTTCCCCATTGTTTCCCAGTCAATCATATGAAATCAAATTCCATCAAATGATTCAGATAAATAAAAAATATGGCACTGAAAGAAAACTGGCCAGAAGACCAGAATTTGTGGATGAAACTGTACTTGAGCAGAGGTAATTTCTCTGAATACTTTGACATGATTTAATCATATATATACACCTATATATACATACATGTAGGCAATAGTGATTCTTGGGTTGTTTTTTTCGGGATCACGTGGCTGAGTGGGTAAGACGCTGGCTCGCTAGCCTGGAGGTCGGATGTTCGATCCCTGCATTGGCCGAGAAAGTTCATTCAGATTTTCCGGTGTGGTTTCCCCTTGTCAGTGATGAAGGATGGAGGGCCTGACATGGACAGCTGTCTAGTCGTTCAGGTGGGACGAAAAATCGAGCTCCCGTGTACACATTGGCGTTCACGTAAAAGATCCCTTGGCAGTTAGAATTCGATATAAGAGTAGGCTGTAGCGCTGCTGCTCGGGAAAAATTTCCCTCATAGCACACTGTATGGCATATGCCCGTCTTCATTAGCCCAGGTTATCAGCAGAACAGTAGGACGTTAAACCCCATTTCATTTCATTTGGGTTGTTTTTGTTATTGAACAGGTGAACACGCCTTTATTTAATTTTTATTATCTGTTCCCATCTGTGATCTGCATTGTTAAGATCAGGTGAAAAATGAATAAGTTCATTATGATTTTCCTTGATTATTTCTCCTAAATTTTATGCGAGATAGATATCTTATTGTGATATTGCTATGTTACTATGAGACCTATATGTTTGTGTGAGATTGATGTTTGTGTGAGATTGATGTTTGTGTGAGATTGATATCTTACTTTTAGATCGAGATCTTGCTGTGAGATCGAGATTGTACTGTGAGATCAATATCTTTCTGCCGCTATCAGGTCTTTATAACAATTACTCTTTTCTCAAATAGGCTGTTTTCTGCTAAATTTTAAACTAAATCTTTGACATAATTCTAGACATAAACTTGCAGTTATCAGGTTTTTGTAACATTTACTCTTTGAAAGGGAAGAGTATGGTCACCAGTCCAACCTCATGGGTGTTCTCCGGGTCCTCCACTGCTAAAAATCCTTATGTGCATGTGAATTGTTAAAAGAAAATCGAACCTTGTTAGTCCCAAAATGAACCTTGTTAGTCCCAAAATGACTTAGTGTGTGCCAGGCATCCCCCTTTAGAATCTGAAGGGAGGGACGAATAGGTCTCTGTCCCCTCCCCCATGATTTTGATCGCAAAGGCTATCTAACCACTGCCTTGGGTCTCGCCACAGTATCTTCTCCTTAATTGATCGATCGCAGCTATCAATTTTTCCATAGCGTCATCATATTACCCTAGATACAGCTTTCATCGAAATAACACTGGTACAGTAAACTGTTCATAATTATTATTTTGGTTTGGTAATGAAATGTTCCAGGTTCCAGGGTTCTTCCCCCCCCCCCCCCTAAAAAAAGGAAATGACAAATCCACGCCCTTGGTGCCAGGTGGAAGTTAAACATCATTTTTGCTCTCTCTTTGAAATTTTATTAAAACCACAATGATATACAATGATATAAATTCATTTGTAGAATTGAAAGAGTAAAACGCTTGAAGGAGGTCCAGACATTTTCTACACCACCATCATGGAAGCTGCCTAGTGATGTGGATGTTTTCTCACATTTTAAAATGGTTCAGGTAAAGCAGCATCCTAGTATTATACACTGACCTTATTTTTTTCGTTAAGTACGGTATACATATGTACATAGTTAAATGCCTTGTCCAAGTTTTTTGGGTATAATGTTTTTCAAATTTGTGAACCAATAGAGATTAAATTTTTTAAAGGCAAAAGGATCCATGTCAAATTTGTTCCACATCCAAGATTTCATTTCTAATAAGCTATGTGGGCGTATTTCCACACTTGAACATTTATTTTTGAATTAATCAAGTTTGCATATATTGATTCTTGGATATTTTATTTAGCTGGAAGAATCTAGTGATGAATATGACGAAATAAGTGAAATATTTAAATCTGGTTTCCCCTCACCAGTAAGATCAGGAAGAATTAAACGGATTGAAAGAATAGAAAATGGAGAGCTGTGGAGGGCATTTTGTGAGTAAGTATAAAATAACTGTTTATACATGTTATTGCAAACTGTAGGGTTGTTTAAATATTTTATATTCAAATCATGTGGTATACATTATTAAAGATCAGAACTTAGGCTTAAACAAGAATGTTAAATCAATCTTCTGTGTTTTTCAACAGAACTAAGGGTGCCCTTGGCAGAAAATTGAAACGAGAAGTAGAAGACAGAAGACTATTCCATGGGACAGAAAGTAAAATAGTAGATGCTATAGCAAGACAGGGATTTGATTGTCGTTTAGCTGGAACTAAAATTGGTGCACTCTATGGTAAAGGATGTTATTTTGGTAAAACTTCAAAAATCTCAAGCGACTATTGCGACAGATTGGGGAAGATGTTTGTTGCAAGAGTTTTGCTAGGAGATTACACCAACGGGCATACACTTTTTACACGACCACCCTTAAAGGATCCCTCTAATCCTTGCAGTGATTTGTATGATTCTTGTGTAGATAATACCATTGACCCTAAGATATTTATTTTATTTAATAACAATCAGGTATATCCTGAATATCTGGTCACTTTTCAAAGTTAATTGAAGATATAACTTTTGAGATTGATATTTCTTAAAGACATATTGATACTACTAAAGATATATTGATATTTGACACTTTTAACTAGAGAAATATTGATAATTCTTACTAAAGACATGGAACATATTGATGATTTTAATTAAAGATATATTTATACTGCTAAGAAAAGAAATTTTATTTTAATACTACTACTTAATATAAGAAAATGTTGTAGACCATGTTAATACTTCCATTTAAATAAAAATTAATGCTTTAAATGGTATTTAGAGATATACTGATTTAATACTTCTAGCTTAGATGTTGCTTTGATAAACCTAACTAAACATATTTCTATTCACCTTGATTTCTAATCACTACTACAGGTGAGCACATGCTGTAAGACTAGAAAATAATAAATTCCACTGACTACCTGGGCTGTACTGATAATTGTACCCCGCCAATTATTATGTTGGGTTCGCCCGTCTGTCTGTCTATCTGTCTGTGTCCGTCTGTCTGTCTGTCTGTCTGTCTCTCCGTCAAACTTTTTGGGACCCAATAACTTTATTACTAATTGAGCTAGAATGTTCAAACTTGGTTTAGGTGTTTATTAGGTTAATGCCTTGATGGAGTTCAAAGATGAGCATATTCTACTTAGGGTAAGCAGAGATATTCAATTTGATTGGTTGATGCTTTGGGACACGATAACTTTTGTTTTAATTAAGTGAGAGTGATGAAATTTGGTATGTAGTTTCATTATATCAATACCTTGACTAAGTTCGATAATGAGCATTTTCTGCTCGGGGTAAGCAGAACGATAAGCAATATGATTGGTCAAGACTTTGGAACACATGCTCTCCTTCGAATTGAGGTACACTGTTCAAACTGGGTGTACCTTGACTAAGTTCGATAATGAGCATTTTCTGCTCGGGGTAAGCAGAACGATAAGCAATATGATTGGTCAAGACTTTGGAACACATGCTCTCCTTCGAATTGAGGTACACTGTTCAAACTGGGTGTAGGCGTTGATTGGGTGAATGCCTTGACGGAGTTCAAAGATGAGCATTTTGTGCTTAGGGTAAGCAGAGATAAGCAATTTGATTAGTTGATGCTTTGGGACACAATAACTTTGGTTCTAATTACGTGAGAGTGATGGGACTTGGTTTATAGTTTCATCACATCAATACCTTGATTAAGTTTGATTATGAAAGCATTTTCGGCTCAGGGTAAGCAAAGCGATAAGCAATTTGATTGGTCGAGACTTTGGAGCTTGACAACTATATATATAACTGAACATCTAGACCTACCTGTGGACAATACCCCTCAAGTAATTTACCCTACTGAACATCTAGAGCTACCTGTGGACAATAACCCTCAAGTAACTTAACCAACTGGGCATCTAGACCTACCTGTGGGCAAACCCCTCAAGTAACTTACCCAACTGAGCATCTAGACCTACCTGTGGGTAATAGCCTTCAAGAAGCTTACCCCATTGAGCATCTAGACCTAACCGTAGGCAATACCTTCAAGTAACTTACCCCACAAGCGTCTAGACCTACCTGTGAGCAGTATTGAGCTTCTAGATCTACATTGCATCTACAACTACCTGCTGCCCAACTTCGGACGAAACTTGCCGTTCCTACCTACTGTCAATATCCGACTAGGGAATGGTATAATACAATACTTATAATGATTTACTTTCATTTGTATACCCAATTTATCTCTAGCAACGCAAAAAAAAGGCTTGTAAATCACATAGTTCTAATACAAAAATGTTCAGAAACCTTTTATGTAGTAAGAAACAGATTTGAGGGGGTGAAAACCATGTAAGTCTGAAATCTTAAAAATGAACAGTCGTCAGCTTTTATTTGACATAACATCTGATAGGGTTTATTTTCATATGTAGAAAAACAAAATTTTACGCAAATCCGACAAGTATCTGAAAAGTTATGAAGTTTTTTGTTCTTCTCTAAAATTTTGTTAGAATGACACTGACGAGATAGAGAATTGTTACAGATTTTTTGTTTTGAAAATTTCTTTTATATTAAAAGAATTGTATAGTGTGTAACAGAAAAGAGTGGATAAAAAAAAAATTAAAAAAATGTCAAGTATATTGCTAATAATTGCTTTGAGTATAAAAAAAACCCTACTCACCTTGACAGAAAAAAAAAGAAAAAAAGTATTTACAAAATCCCATCTCCCTCGTCTTTTTTAAAATGTTAAAGCTAAAAATTAAATTATGAATCGACCAATATTGAAATATTTTTAAGTTTGTATTTTTGGCTAAACTTATATACTATTAAAATAGTATTTGAGGTAAAAAGTGCCTGGGTGCTTAGAACAATTATTGAGAACTTATCAGGATGAATTTTAAAAAAAGAGCTTCCTAGTTAACTTGATGGCACAGGTAGGCCTACAGCTTATTTTATGTTTCTAGAAAACACAGCAAGTGGCCGGCTGTTATCTCTAATACATATATATGCTTAAATTTTTGTGATAAATGTATTATGTTTATTAGCCTAGGGTTTCACACTGCGTACCTTGTGTGAAATACTATTGTGTTTGTTAAGATTATTATTTTTCGTCTTCTTATTATTTTTTTTTCCACTGCAATTTGTACATATCTGAACGTCTTTTCGGAAGCAAATATTAATTTTTACAAATTTGATGTATCATATTTCTGCCATTTTGATTTAATGGTGAAAAAAGGTGTAAAATTTAGCTATTTACAATCTACACAGCGTCTTCATATTTTGTTATATATGTCTTCATAACTTTTATAAACCTGTAGAACTAATGCATACAAAGACAATCTAAATAAAAATGTAACGAAAGTTTTTTTTAAATTTCTTTTCATTTCATATGATTTAAATGTTTTATCAGTGGGTATTTGGCATCTATTTTATGTGGAAATCTGACACCCGTGAAATTCGTCATAACTGTGTTGCAGTTCTAGTTTTATTTTGAGATGTTTCATGTGAAAAGTTTAATTGAAAATAAAAGAAACTTTTGCTGGGACAAAATAACATGTTTTTATAGAATATTGGTTTTTAATTTAAATATTTTAAGCAAGCTACAATATAAGTGATGATACATATAATTATACAGTTTCATTTATTTGTTGATTTTTTCTTAACCTGCATTTAAATATTGTTTAATAAAATATGTTTTTGTAGTTTTTTGGTCTTTAATTTTAAATGCTACTTCATTTCCTTGGATATACAACTATTTAAATATAAGAGGAGATGACATCATTGTTTATGGTGGGTTTGCTTCTTTACAAACAATATTTGATTGAGGATATCTCAATGTGATTGGTAAATATGCTTCATTTATATAAAAGAAAAGTGGGAATAGATGCATAATACACACCAAATTCAAATTATGTCAATGAACATTAATAAGTGGATATGTGTATCCATATTTTTATATGGTTATCCCCCTTTTGTCAAAAACTTTGTGAACGTGATAGAGACATGGAAGCATTGGGGTCATCAGAGGATGAACCCTGTCAATTTTCAACGTTGCTCGACTTCCTGTTCAAAAGTTTTTCCCGATTGCCTAAAACCTTGTGATAGATGCTACAGTTATTAACATATAATCTTTTCAAATTTGATGTGAAGCATTGGGGTCATGAGAGAAAGAACCTTATTGATATTCAGTGCTGCACAAAATTCTGTACCCCCTTTGATGATACAAGCTATTTGGTGGGAGCATTGGGGTCATGAGAGGACAAACCCTATTGATATTCAGTGTTCTTTGATTTTCCGTTACAGAGTTGCCCCCTTTGCCGAAAACCTTGTGACCACAATTAAGGTTATAGTAATTAATGAATTCTTTTCAAATTTGTTATGCAACATTTTGACTAACTTTACCGGTATTCATCTTTCTTCGATTTCCGATCCATACCATGATACCACTGTCAAGAACCTTATTGTGAACACAATAGAGGCTGTTGTATTTAACATAGGCTATATATTGAAGGAACATATCAAATCTGATATTTGCAGGCTATATATTGAAGGAACATATCAAATCTGATATTTGCAAGAATTATGAATAATTTTGAATTGTTAAAAAGTTCACTTTTTTGTCAGTCTCTAGGAGGTTGGATTGCCGAATGGTTAGCATGTGCGCGCTGCGCTGTATCATACGGTCTGTCATTGAGTCAACTGGCGGGGTTTTGATTCCCCGGTTGTACTTGACAAGGAGTAGGGTCGCCGGTCCAACCTCGTGGGTTTTCTCCGGGTCCTACGGTTTCCTCCCACTGCTAAAGACCCCTACACGCAAGCTAATTATTGAAATAAAATTGGACCATGTGTTAGTCCCGAAATGACATAGTTTGTGTCGAGTGGACGTTAAACCCCATTTCTCTCTCTCTCTCTCTCTCGTCAGTCTGAGAAATTTTATCAATATCACGAAGATTGCTGATGGTGGAGTTTGATATGGCCGGATGGTTCACGTTAAATGCCCGAAAAACGAATTAATATTCTAAAAATTTATTGTAGCGATAGTATAATTTTAAATCAAATATTAGATACGCATCGATTAAAGAGGTTTTCATTTTCAAAGTTAAAAAATCCAAGCAAATGTTTTTCGAAAGTATTAGTCTGTGGAGTTCGATGGCGTCACGAGGCTAAATTTTAATTGACCAAAATGGCTGCGCCCATGATAGATGCCGAAATTGATGAAGAAATAACAAAAATTCGAAAAAAGTTGAAACAAATTGCTAATCTGGAAAGAAAAGACCACATTTTGACACATAAAGAGAAAAACAAGGTTTGTATAAGGTTAAGGGAATTGTAGGTGGAATAAGTGTGATATAAAACTTCTCTGCGTGGAGGCACAACATGCCACATCACATAGACAAAACGTCCAGTGTCAAGACAATTCAATAGTCCGAGCGATCACTGATACTGACTGAAGTCGTCGAGACTCCTAATAAAATTATGACCTCTGCATATTTCGTGTGCTTATTATGTCCACCACAATTCAAGTTTGGTTTAAGAATAAGCTATAAGTCTCGGCTCGGGATTGAGTTTGAGCGTTCACATACGTACTCCGCATTGTTTTATTTTGTTACCCTATTTTACATTCTAGTAAAACATTTTGTTTTAATCATTTGAAGCGGTTATTATTTGATTGAAAGAATGCTATCAGATTAACAATGCACTTCGGAGGTGAGCTTCATGTAGATAACACATCTCATCTCTCAACCCTCCGTGTTTCGAGATGAGAATTGTTCCCATTATCTTCAACGTAGCACCTCCCGGAGTGATTCACTCCCGCTAGTTTTAAACAAAATTGACAATATTTTTCACCAAAACAACGATTGATTATTGTTATTTATAATATTTCTGCCACACCCAACTACAATTAAGCATATAATCCTACCTGAAACGGGCACAAATCGTCGTATTTAAAATCGAGGCGTTAAGCCGTTACTAAGACTGCCATCTTTTTAAACAGCAGACGTTTAACGCTGTCATCATGAAGGTGGGGCTAAATAGAAGGCTTTTATAACAGCCAATCAACACACAAAATGACATCCACATGTTATATCCGCGAATCATTTCAGAAAATAAAATCAAATTACGGTGATAATGTTGAATTAAAACCCGAACAAGAAATTATTTTGGACCTGATAATAAATGGCAAGAAGGATGTTTTTGATTTATTACCGACAGGATTTGGCAAATTATTGAATTATATATTAATTCCATTGATTTTAAATGAAGTAAAAGGGGCGTGTAGTGTCGGCGCATGTCTAAAGCACTCTAACTATGAATGGATTTAAATGGCGGTGTATGTCAGACAAAAACAACGCTTCAACTACATTGCCCTATGTAAGTTAAATTAGTCATAATAGCATAAACTTATCTTATTTTAAAGATGTTACATGCATTAATAAAGAAATTGAGTTTGCCACTTGGAACTAAAGGCATCCAATCGTAGCTAAAAATAAACACATCAGTATATCTCAACGTTTTTAGCTACATTCTCGTAGCTAAGCTTCATGATCCTTGTTAAATTATTTATAACATAAAGAAGATAGGATATTTTTACTAATTTTTAGTCATGAATTTATTTTTACAAGTATCCGTGCAATCAGTGATATTTTCATTGTGAATAAAATTTGATAGACTGGCGATCAATGGTTTCAATATAAATCTCCTATGTAATTGCCTTGAGTTGATAATGTTCATCGCCCAAATCAAACGATCGTAATGATTGCGCTTTGTTTTCATTGCAACATGTGGTTGTCAAACAAAAACTATCTGTCAAAATTAAACCACCCCCACAAAAGCTGCATTGGTTCCCCCAAAACGTGACGAAAGCAGTGTTGTCTTCCACTCCGTCGAAATTACAAGTAAATAGTCAAATTTGTCAAAGAGAGAACTTTTTTATTCGTTGGGATTAGTTGTGCAATGGATTTTATTGAACGGGAGTTGATTTCAAACACACAGGTAAGTTTATAATAACCAAAGTTAAGTAGCTTGTTCATAATCGAAGAAATCTGTTTAAAATTTACGATGTCAGACAGTAAGTTAAGTTAAAGTTAAAGTAGCTTGACGAGCCTCAACAAAAGTCAATACGAAGCAGTCCCAAATTAAGTGACAACAGCAGGGGTCGAAATATCACTTGTCGAATCCAAGTAACATTTTCAAATGACAAGTAAAATAATGTCTATAAAGGCAACAACTAGAATAAAGTCTATAAAAATTCTGGCTAAAAATGTCCCTGTCTAATTTATCCATTCCAATAAAGTTGGAAGAGGGGAATCTTTCATTTTTAAGGAAATTAGATAATATTCAATCGCACACGACATAGCTGTCCGTTTGTCTCCATAGTATTAGTAGCGCGTGGTGGCGAATTTCTCCCCGATTAACAAGACTGAAACTTCTATAGTCATTTTAAATTCGTTCTGGAAAAGGTTTCTTTGCATTAAAATAGTAACACTACTGATTCTGTGAAAGCTGTAATGTCATTGGCTGTTTGTTCTTAATCACGCAATCAGGGTTCAGACTGTCGGTCGCCAAAGTGGTGATTTGCGATAAAAACAATGGAAGTGGTGATTAAAATTTGATTTTGGCGATAATGTTTTTGGGTACATGTAGTTGGCGGTAAAAAATCTTAACATTCTAATTGTGTATATATATATATATGACGTCATAATCATTATTGTGTTATCTTTATCTTTTAACCATTGTATATTTGTCTGAAGAGCATTAGCGAATATACTTACAAATATATACAATTGTAGTTCTTTAGTCCATATTTTATATATATATATATATATATATATATATATATATATATACAGTATATCCTTGATTGACCATTACCTTGAAATTCGAATGTCAATCACAACCACATGGCGAACAGGCGGCATACATCAACTACTAATTACTTACTAACTAGCTGATAATTGATAATCTAGATCGTGTCATTGAGTAATACTGATCATTTGTCTTCGATTAATGATTATACTTTATAGTTGACTGATAATGATATATATATATAAGAAAAAAAATATGTAAAACGATCTAACTCTTAGTTAAACATATAAGTAAAATTCAAGTATTAGAGAAAAAATACTAGAAATTAAAATTTTGGCTAGTACTTTCATCTAAATGTCAAAATCCAATGGAGAAACATGTTTTTTTTTGTAATAATTCTTCTAGTTTAAGTAAAAGTGTAAATAGGTATAGTGCAGATGCAGAAGAGCACAATTTGCATATGACACACGACAAATCAAATCATCTACATCAAAATTTTATACAAGATCAAATTACATATTTGTAAGATTTTCTACAAATTTCATCAAAATGTTTTCATTGGATTTAAAGATATTTAAATTTAACCAAACCATTCCAAATTAGAGCTAAGTAAGTTTGTCGATTGTTTTTTAAATGTGGAGCATGGACTATTAGTTCTGATTTTTTTTTTCATTCAGATAACTAAAAAATCAGCTTTAAGGAAAGAATTACAAGCTTTACTGCCTTATTCAACAAATAGTTGCCGAGAAGATGAACAAAAAACTGTTACTCTCAAGGAGAAATCGAAGAGTAAAAAATCGGGAACCAAAAAAAAACAAAACAAAAAATCTCCTAGTCCCACAAAGAATAACCCGTCACAATCCACTTCCATAATTACTGGTAAGCAATAGTAGATAAATCACGATTTTGGCTACAAATATACATATAATAAAAAATCTCATTTCTTATATTTTGGGTGTTAACCGGCGCCGCTAGTGCTAAGGTTTCACCAGCATGATTTGTAATGAGACTCACAGAAAAGGTTTATGAAGGACACACAAAACCATTTTTACGGAAAATGAACTGGCAGACACAACAGGTAGAAATGTGCTTAGAAATAGAAATTCGATTTCTGGGTGGAAAAAGTGTTTGGTGCAAGACTGGGGACATATTGACCATTTGTTTATGTAAAGCGAGGTGAGTGAGGTGTGACAAAAGATAATTTGACATTCATTTTTAAAACTCATACATTGTTAACACTATTTGACTGGTAATTTGGAGTGAAGTTGTCAAACATTCATATTGTACGACATGTGAATTGGTAATGATAAAAATACAATACTTTTTGAGTTATTCCACTTTAAAAGCATGCAGTGTATACATGCATGTTTTTATTTGGTGGGGGGGTGGGGGCACCCAATATGCACTCATATTACCCTTTTGACCCATTTTCATCCATTTTAGTTTCCAAAGAATGAAGATTTGCTGGCTTGATGCTTTTTAAAAAAAAACTACAAAAATGGTTTAGTTTTAATTTTTCTTTGTAGCGTCTAGCGAACAAAATCCACAAATACACAATAAATATGCATCATTATCACAAGATTTTTCCAATAATGCTCAAGATGAAGAATCAAGTCAAGATGGTGAAGAAGAAGAAGAAGAAGAAGAGAGGTAAACATTAGCTTACCAAGCTTTGCAACAGGAAATTAAAGGCACAACAAGCTAGATTTCCAAAGTCAGATGTATTTACTATTTTAATGTAAAGATTGTTATTATTATGTAATTAGTCACATCTGAGTATTAAAAAACCTTTATGGAGAATGTGCTGGCTTATTTGAAAAGAAAATATAACTCTACATGACCATAACTAATGTTAGAAATGACTTATTTGACTCATTTTTTAATAAAAGTACTTTGATTGTGAATTGTCTTAATCTTAAGTTTCAAAAATTAATTTTTAATCTGTCTTGTTGGGGCTATAAATTCTAAATGTAATTTAAACGCACATACCATGATACATTTAACATCAATTTTGAGTTTCAAATGATCATTTGCAAATTAACCGAATATAAAAACAATGAATGGAGTTGAACTCCTCTTCAATATGATTTCATAATCATTTTGAGAATATTTAATGAGGTGAAATGAAATGAAATGAAATGGGGTTTAACGTCCTACTGTTCTGCTCCTATACTGGGCTAATGAAGACGGATTTAATGAGGTAATTCTTAAGTTTGGGAATTGTCTGTGATATCACTTATGTGGAAGCTGCAATTAAAAAGCTATTTCACACACAAGTTTTGGGTATGATGTTACCAGGAGAACAACTGTATATCCAACCTTGAAGCTGTTTCACTCACTTGTACATGATTATGCTGTCAAATTTTCTAGAATTTTGTATTGTTCCATCTTTGCTTACCCTTGTAGAACATCTTGTACTATTTCTCTTTTCAATTTTCCAGTGAAGAAGGAGAGGATTATGAAGTTCAGATGGCTGATATAATTGTTGAGACCCAAATGGAAAACATGAATACGAAAACTCAACAAATTCAGCAAAAATGTAAGAATATTAAAGAGGTTTTTTTTGTTTTTTTAAAACCAAAACAACACGATTATTCATTTTGGTGTTGGGTGGGGGGGTGGGGATAGCCGAATGGTTAGCATAAGGCCTGTCATTGAGTCAACTGGCATGGTTTCGAATCCCCGGTTGTAGGTGACAAGGAGTAGGGTCGTCTGTCCAACCTCGTGGGTTTTCTCCGTGTCCTCTGGTTTCCTCCCGCTGCTAAAGATCCCTACACGTAAGCGAATTATTGAAATAAAATTAAACCATATGTTAGTCCCGAAATGACCTAGCCTGTGTCGAGTGGACGTTAAACCCCATTTCTCTCTCTCATTTTGGCAGGTGTGGAATCTTATTTTACTTTGCATTAAAATGAAATTTTGTGTTGATATTAGATTTAAAAAAAAAAACCAGAGTAACGAGCAAGTACCTTAGTTTTTGAAATGTTTGATGATAATTTTAGCCAGTTGGACATAAAGCTTATGTTGTTTTATTAATGTGTCAATCAGAAGCGACAGAGAATAACTTTATTCAGTCGAACATGCTCATTTTCAATTTAACTTGATGTGATAGGATGTCCATTTAGTTTGTATGATTCTGTCTCATCATATCCCATGTTTTACTTTTAAGGAATCTTAAAAATAATAATGACTTTATAACTATTAGATAAGCATTAAATTATCAGGGAATTTTTATTGATAGAAAGTCTTATATTCATATAATGTTAAGTTTAATTAGGCTTTAAGATGTATGTCAGTAATCAGCATACTTTTTACTTATATAGCTGCAGAATCCGCACCAAAAGTCAATATTCCACAGCCACCACTGAATCCTTTAAAACCAAAATGGCGGCAGAAGGAATGCATAGTTGACTGGTTAGAAGGTCACAATGATTTGGTGACATCAGTAGATTTTTGTGGTGATATACTAGTAACAGCTAGGTAGCTATAGAATTTTCATGTTGTTTCTGTGGTAGAAACATAGCGTGATGCATTTTACATTGATTAGGCAACACAAATAAAATAACTTGTTTCTCGGGCACCGCCCGCACGCAAAATTGGTTGCGCGTGCAGTCTATTTATTAGTCTTGATGAAAAAAAATAAATATGTAACGCCCGCCCGCACATCGACAAGCACGTCGTAAAAAAAATATCCCGCATGTACCTACATCCGCCATACATGTATATCTATTCAAATGTATTAAAACTGATTCAGATGAACATGCTGTCTTTTTTATCCGAACAATGGCGAAGTTTGGCAGATTTGCCTTTTTTATTGATATCGAAAGAACCTCCATTTTGTATCACGTGATATTAATTACCTCCCCTGATAAACTAGAATTTGATTCGTGTTAAAAGTCATTGGCGACAATATTTCAATCATTCGATCGTAATCGGCTCATTATTGCCGGCTTCAGTCGGTCCTTGTTTGGAAAATCCTATTGATAAAATAATGAACCGTAGAACAGGTTAATTAATTATAGCTAAGAATACGATACGATGACGATAGTCGTCATAATGCATACCTTAGAATCTGGGTCATTATTAGCACATTTACGGTAGTTTCGATAATCCGGAAAATAATAATTGGATTACCGATTTGATGGTTTTACTGACCAGTTGTTAGTTAGATTTAAATAGTCATTCAATATAAATACCGGATAGAACACCGAATATCCTGAGAAACACACCGAATATCCCAAGAAACAGTATTTCCGGCAATCTCCAATACCGATGACACGGTGTGACATGCATTGGTTGGAATTCGGTAAATAATTATAAATAAACCGGCGATACTAGATTTAGTTTTAAATACTGTTTACCATGATTATTATTTTTGATACACCTGGTGAAAGAGGCTTAGTTTTTAAAAATATTGTTGTCTTTATGGAGGGCTATTACATAGTCGTATGGAATTTTATTTTAAACCAATTTCAATTATGTGAATTAAATATGGAAAATTATTTTCCTTTCAGTCAGTGTTCAGTCTCAGTGTTTTAGTAGACTTGATTTTGGGTTTATGTTTTAAGTATGTACAATAAAGTTGAATATAACGGAAAGCAAAAACGTAAACAAGTAATGACTTTCTCATTTAAAAAAAAAAAAAAAGAAAGACCGCCCTCCCGCCCCAACAATTTTCAGCAATAGCCAAATTTTATTTTGCACCATCAATGAGTAAAAAAAAAAAAGAAACCGCCCTCCCTCCCTACAGTTTCAGCTGTCAGTTGCCCGAGAAACAAGACATTTATTTTGTGTGGCCTTATGTATTCCAGCCTTTTGTTATACTCAAGTCCAACATGGATATGTGGTTGTATAGTGTCATTGTATCGTCACTCTTCCACAATTTCTTGTGAACAATCTACAGACTACATTTATTATCCGATCATTTTGAAATTTCATTATGTTAACTTGTTTACATTGGTGAGATGAAGAACCCTATCAAATTTCAACAGTTTCTGTTAATTTATAAAATATTCTAGAGTTATGGCCCTTGTTTCATTTTGTAGGACCTTATGCATGCTATTATGACAAAAGTTATATGCATTATTTAAATTAGTAAAATGAAGAAGCCTGTTAAATTTTAACAAATATCTATTAACGTCTTTAGTGTTATGGCCCTTGATTCTCTTTGTAGACCTTTGTGAAAGTTCAAACGACAACAAATAGCATCTGATCTGTATGAAATGTATATGCATTATTTAAATTATTAAAACAAGAAAGTAAATATTGAATTTGCGTTAAGTCATGACCCTTGTTTCAGTTTGTAGAGCATGGTGAACCATCAGACAACAAAAGTTATCATCCAATCTGTATGAAATTATATAAAACACAAATTTATATGGAAAACAATCACTGGGTTTATTTCACACTACGTTTCTACAAGTTCCTCTTGTTGTATATAATTTGATTTCTTGCTATTATACTGTCATTACTTACTTGAGAACGACAAGAGGAACTTGTTGAAACGTAGTGTGAAATAAACCCAGTGATTGTTTTCCATATAAATTTGTGTTTTATATCATATGTTCAGTTACTAAATGCCGTATAAGGATTTCTGTATGAAATTGATATCAGTTTCTTTTGTAAATTCTCCCATTATCTACAAAAGAATAAATATGTATGTGACAACCCTTGTCAACTGCCCGGATAAGAAAGAGTGATAAATTCTTAACTAGAATTTGAAAATCAGGGAATGCTATTTAAGTAAATGACTGTGGTTGATATGTCTCTAGAATCACTTCTATTCTCCCAGCTCTTGTAGTTAAGCCAAAGGTAGATTGATGAATAACTAGAAATATTATAAATACAGGTTATGGAGTGTAATATTAGGAAAGATGACATCTTTGACAAATTTTAACTTGTCTTTGCTGACATGTGCAAGAATACAACAAGAGAATCATTGTAGTAATGTATCTCCGATTTAAAAATACGGTAATTGTTTTCCATAGAACTATAAAAATTGCTTGGCTTATTTCTTAGATTTGTGTTTTTATTTTCAACACCAATCTTTATAGCCGAGATACTACAGTGAAGGCATGGGATATTAAGTTTAGATCATTGATCAGAAGTTATGGAGGCCATACAGAAAGTGTTACATGTATTGTTGCTTTATCTAAATCATCTGCTGAAGAATTACGTAAGATTTTAATAAATCATCACTTATAATAACAATAATAGTTACCCAATGTGCTTAAGTTGTATCATTCAATCAGAAAATATCACCATTTGCCCATTCAGTGTACTTACATGTATAGATGACCTAACAATTTGCACCTGCCCTTGCCCTAGTGGGAAAAGTCAAAACCATCTAAATTTCCTATTTTAGAAAGCCTTCCCCTGTCTTGGGCCTGGGCACATATATTTAAACAAATCTGATTAATGTTTCACCCTAACAACCCAGTAATCATTGACGTGTTCGAAGAAGAAGTCTTTAATGACAAAAGTTTCTCATTATTCAATCATATATCTACCTACTTTTTGTGAAATCCCTCAAGATGTTTAGGATTAGAAGATAGGTAATCTAAAGCTAGATGACGAACATAACATAAATTCTTTAGCTGGATGTCAAATTGACCAGGACTGTACACTAGATAATCTCTTGATGATCAAATGTAAGTGGATACAAACTTTAATTCCACAAGCAATGTTTAATAAATAACTTTTAATTAAAAAGCTGTAATACTTACATAAAAGTTTCTAAAATTAAATCTCATCCATCTCAAGATATTTCTCTTCAGCAGAAATTAAAGCATTGTTATATATTTATTGATATTATGTTTTTACAGAAAAGTTGTTAGAATTAACAAGTAATGATAATATAATTATCACTGGTTCCACTGATTGTTCTTTTAAAATATGGTCTTTAGAGACAGGTAAGTACGTAAATGTCACTGATATTCATTTGGGAGATTTTGAATCCCTTGAAAACTACAATAATGTGAAAGTTGAATCTCTAAAAGTAATATCAGTCCATAATTGGTTCAATTTCATTCAATAATTACAAAGATATGATGAATTGCAAATTTGTCAATATTCAGTAAAGACAGTGACACCTACAATCTTCACTGAAATCTGGTGATGTGTCTTTTATTCATCAGATTAAATCAGGAAGATTATCTACCATTGATATATTGGTTTTTTTTAGATGAAATATTAAATAATCAATTTGAGTACTTTTAATACGGGCGTATATTGTTGTCACAACCGGCTCTAGAGGTTAAACTTGATATCTGATTGACTTTAAATTTATAAGCAGTGCTTAGGGTCATAAGAAGAAGTTTCCTATTGATATTCAATGATTTCCGATAATTACTGCCACAGTTATTGCCCTTGATCACTCTAAAAACGTTTTGTGGACGATCTGGAGGCTAAAGTTAAAATCCAATTGACTTTAAATTTATACACAGTGTTAAAGGTCATGAGACAAAGAAGCTTATTGATTTTCACCGATTTCCAATAATTACTGCCAGAGTTATAGCCCTTGAAAACTTTGAAATATCTTGTGGACGCTCTAGACTCTAAAGTTAATATTCAATTGACTTTAAATTTATACACAGTGTTTAAGGTCATAAGATGAAGAAACCTATTGGTTTTCAACAATTTCTGATAATTACTGCCTGCCAGAGTTATGGCCCTTGATCACTGGAATATCTTGTGGACTCTCTAAAGTTAATATTCGTTGGACTTTAGATTTATACACAGTGGTTAAGGTCATGTGATGAAGAATCCTATTGATTTTCAACTATTTCTGGTAATTCCTGCCAGAGTTATGGCCCTTGACCTTTTTGAAAAATCTTGTAGAAACTCTAGAGTCTAAAGTTAATATCCAATTGACTTCAAATTTATACACAGTGTTTAAGGTCATTTTCCACTATTTCTGGTAATTACTGCCAGAGTTATGGCCCTTGACCTTTTTGAAAAATCTTGTAGAAGTTCTTAGAGTCTAAAGTTAATATCTGATTGGCTTTAAATTTGTACACAGTGGTTAATTAAGGTCATAAGACAAAGAAGACTATTGATTTTCAACGATTTCCAATTTGATCACTCTAGAAAAATCTTGTGGACACTTTAGAGACTAAAGTTACATATAATATCCGATTGACACAGTGTTTTAAAAGGTTATGAGACAAAGACTCCTATTGATTTTCAATGATTTCCAGAATGTTTAACGATTTCCGATAATTAATGCCATAGTTATGCCCTTGATCACTTTGAAAAATCTTGTGTATGCTTTAGAGGCTAAAATTAATATCCGATTGACTTTATGTTTAATACAGCGTTTACGGTCATGAGACAAAGAAGCCTATCAATTCAAATGATTATGGAAATTGATATTAAATGTTCTGTATTCTAAATGTTAGAATAGGGCAGAGCTAGAAGCCAAGTGGGTTGTTACTCAATCAGATTTTGTTGTAAAGGATTTCATTTCTGCCAAAAGACAATAACATACGACAACCCCTGTTGATTTCCCGGACGACTTAGTTGCTGTGGGTGTATGTTTCGTTACCTGGCAACCTATCTTTACTGTAAATTAAGATGTGAAGAATTAGAGATTGTCAGAAAAATGGAAGATATCAATATAGTTTATTGTCTGTTTGATTCTTAATGCATAGAACAACAAACATGTGTTAGCCATGTGAATTCCTTGAATGAGAAGTTGTATCTCAAGTGTTAATATTTGATGTATTACAGGTGAAATAATAAAATCTGTATATACATATAATCCTATTACATCTCTAGTATACAGTAATGATAAACACTTTCTCATCACAGCATCAGGTATGTAATATAGTTTACTCATCTTAAAGGTGCTAAACCTATTTGATTTAGGTCAAAATAAAGTACTGGATTGAGTTAAGTTGATCAGATGTGTTGATTCTAACAGTGATTAAACAAACTCAAAATGATTCAAGTCTTGTTTCAAAAACATGAGATGGAAGTTGTTTTGTTTACTATTTTTACTTTCATTTTTGACTAACTTCTTATTCAGCACCAACTCTGTTATATATATCTTTAAAGAAAGAAGTAGTGTTTTGTCACAAAAAAAATTCAGCGCGTACATGTAAGATGTAGTCAAATCCACAATTTTATTTTTCAAACCCAAATCAAAGAGTGCCGCTTTAATGTTAGATATATAAATGTTCATCTTTACCTTTTTTGTAATCATTATTTTAGTGCTGTAGTATATAAGTCAGAATATGTATTAAAAGTCAAATTGAAAATGATATGTTATATATTACCGGGGCTTAATATAATACATGTATTTAAAAGTACTCTCATTGTTCACTTTTATGAAACCGGGAAGAAATTTTATAAAAATGTTCACACAAATATCTGAAGTGATAATTTTAGCTTGTGATTTTATATGTCGACATTTAATGTGGATGTACATGTATATATTGTTGTGACTTACATCTGTCGGTTCGTCCAACTGTTTTGGGTGGATGTGCTACATAATACAGTTGTCAGATTCAGGGGTCAAAATTGCGAAATTGGAACGAAAGCATTTTTTTCAAAAAATGCCACAGTAATTCCTTCATCATTACACAGTTTTAATTTACTTTAGTCACTACGTCATTTTTTTAAACGGGGAAACTTTGATTGATAAAGATTATAAATAATAAATAAATTATAATTATAATGTCTATTCAGACATATCACCATTATTACAGAATTTGTCCAGAATTAGGTCACCACAAACACCCTTAAATTGTTTACGGCTTTATGTACACCGCAGTCCATATGAATATCCTAATATGAATCTGTTTTATTTCTTCGAAATCAGAAGGCCTAAAAATTCTTGCAAGCCTATGAATCTGCTTTTGCTCAGCGACACGAAGATTCGTGTAATTCTATAATTTGTATACACGTGAATTACACCAAATATAAGTGTTGTGTTACCAAACTTGCATTTTAAATGAATACATCGCCATTGAGGTGTTGAATTCTGGTTCTAAAATATCCGTAATACCGTAAATTGATTATCAAAAAACGACTTCACACCTGTGCATGACATTATATTACATGTACCTCGTGCGGCAGACATGTAACGCCCCCTGGAATTCCTTTCTCACACCCCGTCTATATTTACACTAAAAATTATATTATATGCAATATTTCCCGACCTGATTATTTGATTTGGTCATATTTTCCAGTAAATTATTCATAGCCTTTATTTCTGCGATATTTACTGGACTTTAATCCGATCTGCTGCTCAATGCTCATTCATGATTAAATCAAAAAATGGATAATCAAGACTATGTTTTTTATCGTACCGAGTTTAGTAATGATGATCGAGTCTAGGCTTAAAATTCAATCGCTAAATTCTGGGTTCAGAGTGGATGAATTTGACTGAAATTTTCTGCATATTCCCTTTTCATTATCTAGTTTTTAACTATTATAGTGAGAACTGCCAGCTCTTTATCTAATCTCCCATAATGTATCTTTAAGGTATATGGAAGAATACTATCTATCAAATTTGTAACTTTTTCATCCGAATTTTTGCACTTGATTTGCAAATTAAATATCTCTGGTTAAATTTTGAACTTTAAAACTTATGGAGAACAAATTAATTTCAATGGACCTTTTTATATCTCAGTGATATTATGCATTTGGACCTTGTGAGGAAGCCTTTCAAACTTCAGAATTTTTCCTTCACAAAACATATATAATAACTCTACCTAACCCCATTTCTGTAGATTGTCGACTTGCATTTTTATTACTTCAGATTCATGGCAATATAATTTTTAAAACTGAGATCGTAAATTTCAAACACATTTGAAGAGTTATCTTCGCTTTCACATTTTGACTGTTAACTCTTAACTGACCCAAGGCGACTTTTGTCGACACCTATTCGGCAACGTTCACCTAATGACGGATTACCATCCTTATTGAATGACAGTGATTCAGATTTTATCTGTAGTGTAGATTTTTTACAGTTTTGCGTTAGGCCTAGAACGTGATAGAAGTAGGCTTAGTTAATCAACAAATTTCTATTACGGTACTTAAATAAGCTTAAATTAAAAGAGATTCATGATGAATAATTTTTAGTTCACAACAGCCGAACAAAAAAAAAAAAAATAGAAATAACCATTATATACATGGATTTTGCATGAAATGTCTAAATTAATTTTTTGTATAAATTTATATTTATGAAAATGGCATTAAATTTAGATTATTTCATCCATTTACATTAAGGGTCTATCTACAGTTGTTTATTAATGATATGACTTTAAAATGCATATCTATATTTTAATACTATTGACCATTATGACGTGGGTTTTTATGACGTTATGACGTCAAACCTCTGGGTCGTTTAAGAGTTAATAGTTTGAACATAATACAGAAAAAACTTTGGAGTGGATTTTTTTTTTTTTAAAGTTATTTTGGAAGCTTTTTTGCAAAGTTTGTTTCCATTCATATATTTGCTTATAAAGTGTTCATGTAAGATTTTTTTGTAAATTTTGATCTATGGGATTTGTTGCCAACGATTTTAGGTTCAGCATAGAGGTATTTGCTACTGGTCGGTGTATAGAGGCCTGACAAGCCATTTCTATATTTGTTTATTGTTGTTATTTAGGTGGTGGTAAATTAGAGTTATGGGACTTGGTTACATCAACAAATATTCATTCTATAAGAAACCATGAAGATGCAATAACCTGTTTAACTGTAAGTAATAAATATTAGCTTATACTGTTGATCCATATCTTTCACATATTCCTGAACCAACGATCGCGAGTTTTACAACATCTAACCGTTGCTTCAGTACTGGGCAATTCTCTAAATTTTGCGCTCGTTGTGTTTACACATGATCAATTAGCATTGTCCAATCAGAGGTCTTCGCACATAACACACTGTAAACAAATATGGCGGCCTCCATAGAAACTCTTTGTTGATCAGGTATGATTTCCAGCAACCTTGACACTGATCGAACCTTGAACTTTGCAACTTAATTGTCACATGTAGACATTTTAGCTATAAGCGCGAGACTTGATAATCGTAACGATATTTTTAACGAAGGAATCTGATAGGATCACAAGCTGGGCTTGTACTCAATCAAAAATAGTGCCAGAATATGCGGGATATAGCGTGAAGGGCTTGATAAGATGTACGTAGTTAAGGCGAGATTAAGCCTTCTATTGAAAATGTATCTTTCACTTTCATTGCTGTCTGAATTGTTCACCTCTCAAAGCATCTGTATACAGTTCATCCTTTTGTGGGGCTTAAAGTCTGCTCCCACTGAGGGTGATGTCGCAAACAATCAGTGTACAGTGGATTTGTAGCCTACCATTTGTATATTCTCACATTGAAATGTTGACCTTTCCATTGGCTAACGTTATTAATTGATCGAATGAAATTGGTAAACAGTGTTCATGTTCATGGGACGAGGAATCATATTTTGTTTCAATAACCTCCAATAACTCAAACAGCTATTACCGGTACATGTTTTGTATAATAAAGGTTAGCCCTAGTCTACTGGTATTAACACTGTGAAAAACTGAAAAGGGAAGAACAGCTGTTAGCAAATTGAATTGCTTTATTATTGAAGAAAAACATAGTTGTCTCCCTTTGATCAAGTCTGCAATATATTAAAGGGACTATCTCGAGTCTCAAAAATAAAAGTCTGAGTACGTATGAAATTTAAGCGCCAAAATATAGCGGAATGGTGTATTTACTTTGTCTGAAAATTTCAACGGGCATGAACGTCAAAAGTGCTTATCCGGACACGTAACCCTTTTAACATTTCGGGTACATTTTTTCTTTGGTTGACCTGATAATCGATTCCCGTTCCTTGAGAGGTCTATACAATGAATGACCCATGTGCTGTGATAACAAAGGTACATTTCACCTACACATTATTTTTACAAAATTAAAGTCTGGTTTAGCCAGACACTGTGTAATACAGCTTTGGAAACTGGTCTCCATTTCCAGATGAAGACTGGTGGGTTCAAGTTGTTTGAAATCGTATTACAAATATTGAGTTAGTTGCTTGGCCCTTAGGTAGAGGAAATTAAGGGATTTTAACACAAAATTAAGCAGTTTTATTTGCCAAAATATTATCGGGATTGTCACTTTAAAGGTGGAAAATTGAGATGGGGCTTAACATCCTACTTTTTTTGCACCAGACAGGCAACAAGTACATCAGTTGACTTAGTTTTCTATACCATCTGAATGACTAGACACTTTTCCTGGAAAAGCCTTCCTTTCCATGCCACTGACAAGGGGAAACCGGGCTGGAAACCCCCAAGGAATTAATAAATTGAAAGGTGATTAAATAAAATAAGTTCTTCTCACTATGAAACCTACATATTAGTCTCGAAATGTCTATAATGTCATTGCCATGTTAATGTGGGAAGAAAATTTAATGTTTATTGTCAAGTACTTGGAATTACATCTGGTTCGAATGAACCAAGAATAAAGCAATACCCTGTTGAGAAAATTAATGAAATTAGTCCTACAGTTAGCTAATAATTAGTTAATATTATGGTGTACATTGATGTACTATCTCTTGATACATGATTGCCATGTAGTTAACAATCATTTATCTTATCCACACCTTCATCTTTATCAATGAATGATAGTCAAATAAATCCTAAAATACTCCAGATCGATGTATGCCCTATATAATTCTTTACAGATTAATGGAACATAATGTTGTGTTGTTTGTATATTTCTGTACAAATCTTCTTGTTATACTACATTTCTAACGGATCTTAACATTTCTTAAAATTTAAATGTAGTCAACTTGTTGAGTAGTCTCTAGAAATATGTATTTATACAAAGTTGTTCCACCATAATATTAGATTATTTGAAAGCATGAGAGGAAATTTCCCACATGGGCTAACAACACAACACCATGAATTTTGCTTCATACCCTTTTGAACATAATATGTCTAACACACCAACACAGTTTAAAATCTGATAAAGTTTGTTATTATCTGGGGGGTTGGATGGCCGAATGGTTAGCACGTGCACGCTGTATCATAAGGCCTGTCATTGAGTTAACTGGCGTGGTTTCGAATCCCCGGTTGTACGTGACAAGGAGTAGGGTCGCCTGTCCAACCTCCTGGGTTTTCTCCGGGTCCTCCGGTTTCCTCCCACTCCTAAAGACCCCTACGCGCAAGCAAATTATTGAAATAAAATTAAACCATTTGTTAGTCCCGAAATGACCTGGTTTGTGTTGAGTAGACGTTAAACCCCATTTCTCTCTCTCTCTTGTTATCTCCTCGTTGTTCTGTATTGTTCTATATACCATTATTATTAGTCTCCTAATTAAACAGTGACCGACGTGGTTTCCCCATGTCAGTGGTGCAGGACAGAGGGCCTGACAAGAACAGCTGTCTATTTGTTCAGATGCGACAATAAAACGAGGTTCCATGTTCACATAGGCTTGCATGTTAAAGATCCCTTGGCAATTGGAATTCAGTATAAGAGTAGGCCATAGTACCGCTGCCCGATAAAATATCCCTCATAGTACACTGTATAGCATATGCCCGTCTTCATTATCCCAGTCAGAGCAGAATAGTAGGACGTTAAACCCCATTTCATTTATAACAGGTTTTCTGTCTGCCTGTCTGTCATTTTTGTTTTGGGGAAATGGCCTTTTGTTTACTAAAAATAAATGAAAATTCTGTATTCCCAAATTATTTGAGGTTAGATATTTGACTGAAAATTCAGTTTTACAGAATTTATTTCATCTATACAGAATTAGATTATATATTCACTGAAATGTATTCGCATCATCAACTTCTTATATTATTGTAAAATATGTAGGGGACAGCAAGGACATGTATTGCTTCAGCGATACTTTCAGAATGCTTGTGACCTGTTTTCATTTACATCCCTTAAACTTAAAGAACACAAGAAAACTGTTATCAGTTTTTGAATAGGTCAATCATCTGGGTGAAAATACTAGTTTATATATTTTTTTTGATCGGGTGTATTGCAATTATATATAATCAGCTTTGTTCATTTAATTGTCCGTTGAACTATGAGTTTTGATAATTTGATTGTTTCATTATCAGTTTTGTTAATTTCATTGTTTCATTATCAGTTTTGTTGATTTAATTGTTTCATTATCAGTTTTGTTAATTTAATTGTTTCATTATCAGTTTTGTTAATTTAATTGTTTCATTATCAGTTTTGTTAATTTAATTGTTTCATTATCGGTTTTGTTAATTTTTTTGTTTCATTATCAGTTTTGTTATTTTAATTGCTGGTTTAATTATCAGTTATTGATGGCACTATAATTAAATATAATGGCTGCTCTTATTATCTGGGTCAGTTGACAAGTGTGAAAAAACTGACAGACATAATGGCCATCCCTTGTACACAAATGGTGTAAAATCAAGGATGTGGACCCTCTAGAGGCCACAGGTTTGTATCTGATTTGGATGAAACTTTAAATATATGTTTTTATCATAAAGATCTTGATTCCTTTTGGTAATCACACATATCCGAACGTATCTTCCTAGATTATGGCCCCAAATTTTAGCTTGTGGATTCTCTAGAGGTCACAATTTTTTTTCCGATTTTAAAAACCATTTAGATATTTCACAATTCCACCATAATGAAGATTGAATTCGAATTTCTGGAAAATCAAAATGGACTCAATTTGTACTCAAATTGTGTATAAGTATGTAATACAAATGTTATGGACCCTCTAGAGGTCACAATTTTTATCCGATTTTGATGAAACTTAAAACATAACTTTATATTCCAAAAATCTCAGTCCCTTTTGATATTTGCGCATTTCAGACCATAACTTTCTGGATTATGGCCCCTGATTGTACAAAAAATCGTTTTTGTTTTTAGCTTGTTCTCTGTCCATCTCTTGCAAAATGTTGGCGTATCCTGCCTGGCAGCGGCTGGTTAGAATCATAAATTTAAAAACTCGAAATCACAGATACTGTGATATGATATATGCATTTTTGTTAGTTTGTTTTCTATAAACATGGGGGTTGGGGGATCGAGTGGCATAACATGTGCTTTTTATATCATAAGGTTCTGTCGATAAGTCAGTTTGCGTTGTTTCGATGTCACGCTTGTTTGTGTCAAGGATTAGGGTTGCCTCCCCAGCCCATAGGTTTTCTCCCATGAACGCTATGTACAAGCAGATTATTGAAATAGAATTGTATCATTCATATTATGTTAGTCCCGAAATGACTGGGTTTGTGCCATAAGGATATTAAACCTGATTTCTCTTTTTCTTTCAATAAACAGTTCATCATGATTTATGTTTATTAAATCCTTTTTGTGACATGTTAATGTTGGGTGAGGGGTGCTAAGAGATCTTGGAATTGGGTGCTAATTTACGACAATGCAATCTGTCTCATATTCCTTACAAATTTAGCAATTCTTGATCATTTTTTAATGTTTAATTTGTATCTTATTACAAAACATCAGTCTGAGCAAAAATATTTTAAAGGAAATAATAGGTGTTGAATCATACCTCAAGGTCACTCTGAAACATTTTTTAAAACATGGAGCAAAACCTTTTTGGTATCCTGTTTATCAAAAGTCAGATGAACAAAAGATTTCTTGTGTGGATTGGACAATAGGTTTGGAATCATACCCATAAATTGCCAAATTTACAGTTAAAAATATCAAGAGAAGAAGTAAAAATTACACATTTTCATTAAATAACAATATTGCTAGTTTGCTACCTTCACAACCATTTTCTCCCCTCCTTGTCAAAAAGCTAAAACACAACATGTATTTTTTTAGTATAAAGATAATGTTGCATTGTTTAGTATAAAGGTAATGTTGTATTTTTTAGTATAAAGATAATCTTGTGTATAGTGGATCAGCTGATGGTATTATTAAAATCTACGAAATACAAGAAGAGAAACTGTCATGTGTATTTGAATCAGAAGATGTAAAAACGGAACAAGGCATTAGTTTAACCAATCGCTATGTAAGATGTATAACAGTATATAATGATCTTATATTTTATGGTGATGATGCTGTTAATGTCAAGGCAATCAACTGGAAAAAAGGTAATAGTTAGAGAGGCTAAATTAAAAAATACCTGTGTTTACGGTTCCCTGATCGACCCTATTTTTCATTGTCCAGGTCCTGTAATTAGGTTTTAACATGAGAATGTCTCTTTACAAATACTAACGCTGAAATTTCAAGAACCTTACTCAGTAATTAAGCTTAAAAAAAACTACACACGGAAACAAGAATAATAAAGAAAAAAATTCTGAATGACTGACCCTATATTTTGTAACCGTAAATACAGATATTTTATTTCTTGGCCTTAATGATAATTTAGTGTGGAATCCAGTTAATAGAACTGTTCTTATATAAATTACAATTAAATTAAAGCTGTGGTGGCTCAGTTAGTATTAATAATGGTTTTGGTTGAGAAAGTTTCTTTAGTAGATTTTCCAGCCTCACATTGCCTGATAGCTACATATAGCATAGAAATGAGGAGTCTGAGGAAGTTTTTCAGGATTTTTTAGCATGGTTTCCCTATGTCAGTGGTGCAGGACGTGGGAACGAATAATCCAAGTCCACCTGTGTACTCACTGGCATGGATGTGAAAGAACTTTGGAAAGTCAGAAGCCACAGGGACCGTACTAAAAACATTTATATTTTCATAACATTTCATCATTTCTCATAAAATTATCATTAAATGCAAAGGTATCATAAAAAATATAAAACTTCACTATTTCTCTTAAAATTATAAACTGAGACGAAAAAGTTTTCAAAATATAAAATTAACCATAAATTGTTGCACCTAATAATAAATTTCTATTCTAATAAATCTGGATGTGAATAAGAAAATCTTCCAAGCATTCTATGACTCCCAGCTTGCTGCTCTGTTTCATTTTAAATTTGACAGTGTTCGGTCAATGTTATGTGGGTATATGAATATAGGGAGCCACGATGGCTAAGTGGGTAAGATGCTAACTCGCTAGCCTGGCGGTTGCGTGTTCTCTCCTGGTGTTGGCCGAGAAAATGTATCAAGATTTTCCTGCGTGGTTTCCCCTTGTCAGTGGTGCTGCAGGACGGAGGGCTTGAGAAGGACAGCTGTATAGTTGTTTGGGCCGAAAAATGAAGTTGGGTATATACATTGGAGTGCATGTAAAAGATCCCTTGACAGTTGGAATTTGATATAAGAGTGGGCGGTAGCCAGTCGTTCAAGGAGAGCCCAAAAAAAGCTCCCCTTAATGAACAAATTGAAAATATTGCTCCCCTAAAAAAGCTCTCCCAGTTTCGATTAAAAGATTGATTTAGAAATTAAGGAGAGTGATCTGATATTAAGGAGAGTGATTAGTTGTATGTATGGGAAATGGTTCTGAAGATCAATAACTGCGTGTAAGGGGTCATTCCTGGTTACATAAATGATATTAAAATACAGATATGACGTCATCCTTTGATGTTGGAGTACCATTATTTCAAATAATCGTACGGGCAATGTGCCAAGCGTAACTTGGTAAAATAATGAACTCGAGTGACGTATTTCATTGCAAAGCACGTGCAAGTGTCTGTATTTTAAGTTGTTTAATGGTCTCGAGCTTAAGACATTGCGTAATATATTGTAAAAACATTCGGGCCTCACGGCCCTCATGTTGTTACAATATATTACTTAATGTCTCGCTCTCGACCATTAAACAATACATAAACATCGGCTGCTAAATAATAACTCTGGTAGTCCTATGGTCAAGTCAAACTTATGGTTTTCCAATATAAATACTTGTCAACATTTCTATATAATTATAGCTTGTATCAAAATATAATCTATTTCTTCCGGAATTATTCTCATTGGAAATTCTCACATGCAATCTCTTGTTATTTCTCACGTCTTGTGAGAGTTCTACTTTACATTTCAGTTAAATTAACCAATGATGCATAAGCGTCATCTATTTTTAGCAGCATATTCACCGGAATTTTATTACTATGTGCGTTCACATTACACACTAATCGAATGCACCAAATAAATGTTCACAATGACAGCATGGCGACGATCGAAATGTGAGTCTTTCACACTCTTTACAAAAATATACATATGTCCATGATTTACAAATGAGGAGAGCGATTTTCAATTTTAAGGCGAGGGAGAAAAAACTCACCTCAATTGACACTCACGTGCGTGGCAGGCGCTCGCGCGCCTAATTAAAAAAATTACTGCATAACTACGCTGTCCGGGCATAATTTCATCATAGCACACTGTATGCCCGTCTTCATTAGCCCAGTCGACACAGAACATTACCACGTTAAACCCCATTTCATTTCATTTATATGAATATAGAAGAATACCACCAGTGCTACCTTTATCCACATAACACTGGCAGAACACTACTTCATGGACTGGGGATCAGTTATTTACTGTCAGTGTAGTTATATAAAAAAAATCATAATATTTGATAAAGGTAAAAACATAAAAAGTCATGAAATGTGATAAAAAAAAAATATAAAAATATCATAAAATTTGATTAAAAAATATCATAAAAATCATAAAATTTGATTAAAAAATATCATAAAAATCATAAAATTCCACAAGAAAATTTCATAAAAATATAAATTTTTGACAAAAACTGTGTACGGGCCCTTAAATCGATAATGAGTAGAAAGTAAAACTCCATTTCATTTCACAATGAAATGTTTAGGCGCCTATAGGTCATTAACTTGTTGTTTACACTAATTTACAGGCTGATCTACTTTAACTCTGTGATCAGTTTGTTGAGTTACATGTATGTCATGCATATTATCTGATAATTTGCACTGTTAACAGGAAATAACAGACATTTCTCAGTAGTTTCTATACATCCACATTTTCAAGTGGATGTATATTGTCATTGCCCCTGTCTATCAACTGAACTCTGCTCTTAAAAAACAAGACATATGGCCTAATTTTAATAAAGCTTCGTCGACTGTATTGCCTTAAAATATTAGAGATCCTTACTTATTGAATATGTCTAGAATTATAATTTTATTGATTGATTTAGGTATTTTATTATCAGCATTTTTTTTTTTTTTCAGGACATGTAAATAAATATCTGAATCATGTAGAAGAATTTGCATCCACAGATGCTGTTTGTATTCATGATGATCTCATGATTTCCTCTAGTTTTGATTTGGACCATGGTTTGGGATATTTAAATGGTAATTTTTATTTTATTTTAAGAAAGATGTTGAGTGATTTGTTATAAAATGTAAATTATTATGCTTTAGCAACTCACTGACTCCAATTGACTAACTAAGGCCATATAAAAGAAATATTCTGGTTCCCAGATAATCTTGTGTCACTTAAAAACCGCTGCAAATGAAAATAGATTATTTAATTACTGCATATATATATTTTACCACAATCGCAGGAATCCAAGAAAAAATGTGTCATAGGCTAATTTATCAAATATGCAACCCTGACAATCATAATTGATACTGGATAATTATACATTCCTATGAACAACATGACATAGATTTAGTCCAGTGATAGGTGAATAGTAGGACATTAAACCCAATTTCATTTCATATCCCTTTAAATGTGATGTTTATAAGAAGTCATTTAGCCCCAATCTGATTAAAACAAAGATCCTATTTCGTTTCGCATTTTAGAGATCAAAATTTTGTTTTACTTGTCTTTACTACACTAGAATATGGAAGAGTTGTTATATAACCCGCGTTCTGGATGATGTGACAGTGAGGGATTAGCCAATGAAACGATCTGTTATGGCAAGTTTTTGGCATGAGGTGCCGGAACTGTGGGTAAACCACAAGGAACATCAACGCTGTAGACCATCAAAAGAATTAAAAAACAAAACGAAATATAGATTTGTATTTTGATCAGATTGATTTAGACCAGGAGTGATCCATCAACAAAATAGAAAAACAGAAATAAAAACTGCCCTCCCGCATCAAATATTTTGGAAGGATTGTCTGAGAACCAAAATATTTTTGTTGTATGGCCTAACTGACTGACTGAAATCCCTGCACACAGAACATACCGATACAAAAATACTTATTTTAACATGCTTTTGTATGGAACAAATTTTTAATTGTTTTTACTTTGGATGATTTTACTTTTACTCATATTCTGATGCATACTGCTCATTACCAGAAAGACTCTTGGCCATGCGTGCTCACTTTTTGAGTAAAAAAAGTACTATGAGACCCAATGAAAACACATCACTGATTTTTTTAACTGACTAAAGTAACAAGTGATAACAGATACAAGGGCGAATTTCTGCTCACTAATAATTTCCAAGACCAAAAATTGTTACATGAGACTGTGAGAGGATATCTGACAATTCAAAAAAATAATTGAATTTCACTAGATAAGAGAAAACGAGAAAAATAGAAATAGCATGTACATTCCCTTGTTTTTATTCATTCTATACTTAATAAAAACATGGTAATGCACAGGCTGCATTAGTTACAGTTGTTGTATCTGGCAATGCCACTAACTACAGCTTATTTATCTTGCAATGCCACCATTATGTACTGTAATAATGTAAAACAATTAAATCTTTTCTCAAAATCCTTATTTTGTGAAGTGGTTATTTTTCAGTTCGTCAACTTCCATCCTGTGAATATTTATTTAGTTTAAATGATGAAGAAACAGAAAGGATAACAAGTATCACATCAACAATTTTATCAAATGGTGATCTTGTCTTAATTACTGGTGGTCCACAACTCAAACTATGGCATTTTATAAACACATCAAGGTAGGATTAATACAACTTTATTGACCACTACCACTACCTCTCAGTGTTTAAAATTTACGTCGTTCCGTTGGCCCGACGCCGATAAATAACTGGAGGGGCCGACATCTTTTTATTTTGAAGATGGCGGGTCGGCCCTGTGAGCCGACTGTTTTTGTCATGGATATTTTGTTCAAGGTTCTATCAAATTCTCCTTTGAAAATATTTATTATATTGCCTCTATTTATATCCGAAATATATTTCATCCAGATATTTAACCGTATTTCATTACCGGAAATGAAAATAAAATTGTCCACCGAAAGAAAATATTGTTGTAGGAGTGAGGTCGTGCTTGCAAATATCAGCACGCTCCCAGAGTTCGGGAGGATATTATTTAACCATTTCGATCAAGTGTGGAATATATGAGTGTGTGTTCCGATGGTATGCCTTACTTACTGTCTTATTTGTCTTTGTCCGATATTGAATACACATGCATAATCCGGCATATTATATTCCTTCAATGGAGAGATCCAAACACGTATGCTACTATACTAGGCCAGTCCATCTACTGTACTGTCATGAATCCAAGAATAAATATTCACGTGATATAAAACCTTTTGTCTTGCAAAAATAAAATTGAAAACCCAGAGCTGAAAATTCCCTGAAAGCCTAACTACAGATAACAATATAATTCCAGCGAGGTAAAAAATATAATTCCAGCGAGGTAAAACGAGTGACCTTTCCCGCCATTATTTCCAACTCTCGTGATTTGATAGCAGACTTGATTATCAAGTCTATTTCTTTAATGAAGATTAGACTACCGTACTGCAGACCCACGTCTGCAAAATAAGATACAAATGCATGAATGGAGCCACAGTGGCCCAGTGAGTAAGGTCCTGGCCTGCTAACTAGGAGGTCTGGCATGGTATGTTTTGTCAGTGATGCAGGATGGGAGGGCCTGGGAAGGAACAGTGTCAAGTTGTTTGGGTTGGATAAAAATCGAGATCTTGTGTACACTTATAGCACATTAAGTGGTGTATGCCCATCTTGTTTAGCCTGGTTGGTATGTAGAAAAGTAGGATGTTGAACCCCATTTCATTTCGCATTCAAAAAAATATATATGTTAAATGGTACCTTACAGTAATCATATCCATTTCTGTATCCAGAATAAAGAATAAATGGAGTAATGATTTACCTTATAGATCAGCAGTATCCTCAAATTTAACACCTATCCAAACAATTTACCAAGTAGGCCAATCAGTATTCTTGATTATTAAAGATACATTAGTTAAGAGTTTAATAAAGAGTTGGACATTCTTGCTATAATAATTTAAAAATAGACGATAAAAAAAAAGAAAATATTGAAAATTTCAGTCAGATTACTTTATTCTGAACAGAGTTGTCACTGTTGGAAGTTTGGACTAGAAATAGGCATCAACTATGTCCACACTGTCTACGAGAATTGTTGATCATTTGATTGACAAGACGATAACTCCACCCACATATTCTCGATTATCAAGTAACATTCTCAATGGCTATATGGTACCCTCGCTTGTTAGGCCTTTCATTGGCAGTGTCCGGTTGTGACATCAGTGACTAACGATAAACGTTAGCTTGGTAGGCCAATTATTGATTTAATTTTATATGGAATACTGTTTAAATCCAAGCTGTATCCAAGCCATCAGAGGATCTACGGAGTTGATTTTGAGCTTGTCATGTAAATAAAGGTTTAATTAATAATTTCTATAACATCTGAAGCCTAAATAAAGACTTACAATAGGCAGATTTAGCTCTTGCATTATATGTTTAACAGTGATGTAGTTTTCTGATATCTAGATAAATATGTTGTACTCTATTAAACTCAAAGTAACGATGCATCATTTGCATTTTTCGGAGAATATCAAATTTCTCGCGGCTTAATCAACTATAATATGTACTCCGATTGATTATTTAACATTTTATTAAGAAAACAAAATCAAAATACCAATGCTTGAATTCAATCTGATTTTAAATAGTATATTACTGGAAATTTAATAAACAGTAACACTTTGTGTGACTTCTTTTATGTCTTTTCACAAACTTAGTAGTAGTGTAACCAATAAAGACTTTTTTCACATTTTTGGTTACGGTACTCTTAGTCTTAAGCTTATCTACAATATTATATACTCTTCAAACAAAGGAAGGGATATTCAGAAACAATACAAAACTGCTGTAATGCACTGCTGTTTTTATTAGGGGTAACCAGTGTATGTTAATAACAGGCCAATTGCCGACACATGAACATAAACAGTTCATATGGGCGGCTTATCCGACGGTCCCATTTTACTCACAAAGAGATACACCGTCAAAAAGGAAAATGGACTTTTTAAATTTTTTTCTTAATAATAAGTAATTGCTCCGCCAATCCTCAGACATTCAGCAATTCGTCATGGCATACTCCTAATCAACCGTCTCCAATCACGATTTGGGGCAATCTGACCCACTCCTCTTGCAGTACCACGGCCAATTCTTGCAGTGTTGTCGGTTGACGTTGATGTCAACAAACACAACAAACACGTCTCCCGATCAAATTAATTGTAACACACTAAAGCAAAGATATGCTAAACAGTAAATCTTATGCAAGAACCGATAGGAAAGCAGACATGGATAGATAAACCAGCACGCGGCAGTTTTCATCAACTCTTCCTTGAAGTGTCAAATTTGACAATGAACCCCTCCCACATGTATGGTGCTATTGCGTGTCGCATGTGCAGCTCAGTGGTTCTGTTGGGGCGATAAGTTCTTCATCTGTGAATATACTCTCAAAGCATGTCAAGTGTCCAAGACTATTTATCATATCACAACCTGAATATGTATTTGCATTTAAATATCCCCTATTTTTTTTTTTTTAAAGAGTATATATTATATTGCAGCAATCTTATTTTTTTTTAATCAAACTGAGTTTTGACCACAAAAAGGTGGGAAAAACTTCTTGGATTTTAACAGTATTTCTGAAGAAATATCGTCATTGCTGTGATCTAGTTTGAAAGTGTTTACTATTCTTTCTTAGTTTCCACACTGCAACAGTTGAAAAAAAGACAAAAATGTTTAGGATTTTTTGACCAATTGTTTAACAGTCCCGAGAGTTTATGTTGTAACTTCTGTCCATCTGTTTATTATTGCATCTGTCCATCAATCTGTTTGGCGTAAACATTTATATTTTAAACTAATTTTCAAAACCACAAACAGGATTTTAACCAAGTTTCATATTTGTAGGTAGTTTATGTGGTCAGGATTTAGATTTGTTCATCCGAAAAGTAGGGACACTTAAGAGGATAAGAATCAACCAATTCTCATTTTTAAATTTTCATGTAAAAAAATTATTGGTACTGTATAGAAAGTGCAAGAGGACTGCACTACACACAAGCAAAACCGAAAAGACAAACGTGCAGACAAGACACATTATGATTGTGGATAACATGAAACCCCATATACACTAAGAAAAATGAAATGGAACTCAATCTGGATCTGGAAGTGTTATACAAATTTTCAGTACTTTACAGTAACTATGACAAGGATGTACCATACTCAGTCTGGACCAGAGCTGACTAAACGAAACAATCCAGTTTCAACTGCAGTTAAATTAAATTTTGGTAATGTATTTAGAAACTGAACCTGGCCAAGTTATTTTAGTATATGTGTGCATTTGTTCAGTATGGTAACTGTATTATAGTCAGGGTAAAGAACAAGGTTATCATTGTGCAAGTATTGATCTATTTATTGAAATAGGTTCATCCATACATTTTGTCTTTAATCAACAATTAATATGCCAGCTGTGAACTGTGGTCCAGAAAAGATAAAAAAAACACAGTGTCAGGTGTTACACACACCTTTCTTGTATACATACTTTATTTACCACATGAATTTGAAAGCCATTGGTGATTAAGGTAACCAATTGTTTCACCTTGTAGAACCGTGTAAACACTCTAAAAATAAAATTATCATCCGATCTGTATGAGCATACCGTTAGAGTTACTGCTCTCATTTCACTTTGTAGAACCCTGTCAACACTATAATATCAAAAGTTATCTGATCTGTATGAACTTAATGAGCATTATTCAAATTAGTGAAATTTGAAGAATCTTATTGAATTTCAGCAATGATATTATACAGTCCAAAGATTTTGTCTGGCGGACTACTCAGATGATGCAGCTTCTGTGTGTGTATGTTTCGTTGCCTGTGAACCTAACTTTCAGATGAAGGGTCAAATATTGCCAAACAAGGGTGACAGGTTTTACTGTCTAACTTTTTAAGAGCCATTCCACGAGAAAATCATGCAATATCAGGCAGATGTTCGAAGGTGGGAATCGGTCGATTGAGTTCATACTCACAGGGTTTGGTCGACTCATTAAGCCTACTCCCCAGCCAACATCAACCGTTTCCGAGATACAGGCTGATTACATTTTTCGGCTGATTTTTGTCATTTTTAGGCCAAATTTTAGCTATTTCTGTCGCACTACTACCGCTGTTGCATGACCCTGGCGAACTAGGTTTTGGTTGTTCGTGATAGTCGGGGTCTTACCCTATCACATTATTATGGTCACCCGGTTCAAATTCATTTTCCATAGGTGTCAGGAGACTACACAAGATACGTGTCTGGAGATACCTGAAATGTACCCTATCTTCAGATGGCGATAACTCCACTGGAGCAGGGTTTGCGATAAAAATTAAAATCAATTTATTTGCAGCTTGACCAGTTCTAACAACATAAGAAATAAAATCGTTGTCAGCTAACTTACAAAAGTATGAAAAATCGTGTCGAAAGTTACCAAAAACTTTAGTTTTGATTGGGATACATCGGCGGATTATTCAGTTACCCAATCGCCAATATTTGTATTCAAAGGGTCAATATATCAACTCCGGCTCCCCTTCAACCCGCTTTGCCAAAATATTCAGTCTTGGTATCCAGTCTACGTAATAAAAATAGAAACACCTCGCTATTTTTATACGCCCACATTCTCGTGTGGTCGTATATTGTTGTCGCC